TACAACTGTGTATTGTTTAGCATCTGTACTGAACAAAACAGTTCAGTGAAGCCTGAGCGAACATAATCATAATAATTAACTTGAAAGTGAAATAGTTTTTATAAATACCTGGAGAACAGGACGTTTTTATACCAGTTGTTGAGTTTTTGCAAATAATGGAGAACAGGATGTTTTTAATACTGAGGATTATTTGAAGATGAAAATACAGTATAAACAAAGTAAATATTTGGAAAACAGGATGTTCTATAATAGTTGTTTTTCAGACGACATTTTTTCCATGACTTTTTTTTCCTATGACTTTTTTCCGATCACCTATTCCCTATGGGGTACTGAATCAACAAGGCACACTCCACAACTGTAGACACAGAGACTCCACAACTGTAGACACAGGGACTCCACAACTGTAGACACAGAGACTCCACAACTGTAGACACAGAGACTCCACAACTGTAGACACAGAGACTCCACAACTGTAGACACAGAGAATCCACAACTGTAGACACAGAGACTCCGACACTGTAGACACAGAGACTCCACAACTGGAGACACAGAGACTCCACAACTGTAGAGACACAACTGTAGGCACAGAGACTCCACAACTGGAGACACAGAGACTCCACAACTGTACACAGAGACTCCACAACTGTAGACACAGAGACTCTCCACAAATTATGTTTAGACACAGTGACTGGACTACTCAAACTTATCGACTCCACTGCTGACTTTCAGTTCAATGTTCTGCGACTCCATCCTATATTCCAGCCATACCAATCTAAACACTATATTGGTATCACTGCGTCCACGCAATCAGTGGTGAGACCCGTGAGGGTCCGGGTTAGAATTGATCTTCAGTAACCCATGCTTGTCGTAAGAGGCGACAAACGGGATCGGGTGGTCAGGCTCACTGACTTGGTTGACAAATGAAATCGTATCCCCAATTGCTGTTGGTCACTGAAATGCCTGGTCCGGACTCCACATTATTAACAGACCGCCGCCATATAGCTGGAATATTGCTGTGTGCGGCGTTGAACAAGAACCAATCCAAACCATTAGTGGTAAAACATACGCCGAGTTGCAGCTGCGAAAATCCCCAGGAACTTTACCATTCCTAATACTAGTATACTATAAACCTATATCACTTTGGGCTTCTTGCAACATCGAAGTAGTAATGTACAGAAATACTGGTCAAGGAGGCGTTAAACCCCAGTTCATGCACACACACTTCGTGCAATCAACACATAAAAAGTGTCTGGTACGTACCTACGGGAATATATACGACCCCTTTTCTGTTTGTATTTAGACCCATGAACATCCGGGTTAGAATGAACCTTCAGTAACCCATGCTTGTCGTAAGAGGCGACTAACGGGATCGGGCGGTCAGGCTCGCTGACTTGGTTGACACATGTCATCGGTTCCCAATTGCCTAGATCGATGCTCATGTTGTTGATCACTGGATTGTCTGGTCCAGACTTGATTATTTACAGACCGTCGCCATATAGCTGGAATATTGCTGAGTGCGGCGTAAAACTAAAGTCACTCACTGTTTGTTATTTAACCGAATTATCGAATGCCATCGGTGGGATACACTAAAAGCTGTGAATTAGTATTTTGAAACTGAAACGAAATACAACTTCTGAGTCACACAATAGAGTAGGTTTGTCAGTAAGGTAACCTGGAGGCCAACCATTTGGAAACAAACGCTTGTGCGCGTAAAAAGCCTACATGTATGGGTCGAGAGACGTACTATTCGTAATGTTGTATTCTTGTTCATCGGCAGCATCCCGGATTCATGGGCTTCATCAACAAAGTGAAAACATTCTGGGCGCTATATTATGGGGCTTGCCCTCCATGTCAAACTGACATGTTTGGACTGAGTCTGACTGAGTTTTTAGTTTTACGCCGCTTTTAGCAATATTCCAGCAATATCACGGCGGGGGACACCAGAAATGGGCTTCACACATTGTGCCCATGTGGGGAATCGAACCCGGGTCTTCGGCGTGACGAGCCAACGCTTTAACCACTAGGCTACCCCACCGCCCGACATGTTGGGTAGTGGTTGAGGTGCTGTTGAGACCGCGACAGCCTCTTACTATCCCAGCACTTTGGTTAGTTGTTAACGCCACACTCAGCAATAGTCCAGCTGTATCACGACCGTCAGTAAATAATTAAGTCTGGACCAGACAATGCAGTGATCAACAGCATGAGCATCGATCTTCGCAAATGGGATACGATGACATGTGTCATCCAAGTCAGCGAACCTGACCACCCGATCACGTTAGTCGCCTGTTACGACAAGCATGGGTTACTGAAGACCAATTAAAACCCTGATCATCACAGGTTATAAACAAATAAGTATGGCGTTAACAATTGTAACCGGATCTTCACAGGTGATCCCAGCAAGAGGCAGGCAGGGGTAAGTAAAATATTTTACTGCCGCTTCAAAGTTCATCATCATCTTTTGTCTTAAACGTTACAAAGGCCGTCAAACCACAAAACACTGAAAAACCTTCAAAGTGAAACTATAGACTGTGGACTACTGCAGATTACCGACACCTTGCTGATAGATGTAATAACGAGATAATCTCCCTGCCATGCAGAGACGATCTTATCAATTGATTAGTTTTGTACGTATGAATCATGAATGTGTGTCTGGAGAATGGTCACAGTGGACGATCACGTACACCGTAGTATGGTGAGTCTGGTACGTGACCGCTGTCGTCAGTGTGTGAGGCTGAAAGACGTGTGACTTGATGTCACACACCATGGCCAGCTGTTAGTGTTACAAGATACTGCATGCTCGTGTGCCTGTAACCAGTGGGGCTGCTTGCCTTCAACCAAAAATGACGCTAATCGTTCCTGACAACTGTCCTTTTCACACGCCGAGTGTTACGAAAAGATGCGAATACGGCCACCTTCCAGCGACCGGTTTGAAATGCTCAGGATTAAATTTCTAATCCGTCAACGTTCAGGACGTAATTAGGCGGTGGGTTAGCCTAATGGTTAAAGCGTTGGCTCGTCATGCCGAAGACCCGGGTTCGAATCCCCACATGGGCACAATGTGTGAAGCCCATTTCTGGTGTCCCCCGCCGTGATGTTGCTGGAATATTGAAAAAGCGGCGTAAAACCAAACTCAGTCAGTCAGTCAGTCAGTCAGTCAGGACGTAATAATATATGTATGTTGGTTGCGTTGAAATTTCACCGTGGACAACGTGTGGTGGATGAAACATTTATTTACCATCACAGTGTATGACATATAAGGAAATATACAGGATATTTTATGAACGCACACACCTACACACAAACACATAACGCACACACCTACACACAAACCTACACACAAACACATAACGCACACACCTACACACAAACACATAACGCACACACCTACACACAAACACATAACGCACACACAAACACATAACGCATACACCTACACACAAACACATAACGCACACACATACACACAAACACATAACGCACACACCTACACACAAACACAAAACACACAAACACATAACGCACACACCTACACACAAACACATAACGCACACACCTACACACAAACACATAACGCACACAAAACACACATACAAACAAACATTCACAAACTCATAGATGTGAACACAAACCCACTCACACAAAAACTCTCATCCCCTGGGAGTTGGGATTGACATCCAGTGTTCGAGGGGAAAAAACAAAGCGCCTTTGAGCAGCTGAGCTGGATATCGGCGCTATACAAACGTTAGCATAATAAAAAAATAATCAGTCGTCTCTGTCTAAAAAATCGGTTGTGGAGTCACGGTGTCTAGAGCATCAGTTGTCTTGTCACCATGCGTAAAGGATTGGTTGTCATGTCACTGTTTGTAAAAGATCGGTTGTCGAGTAACTCTGTTTAAAGAATAAGTTGTCGGGTCACTGTGTCTAAAATATCAGTTGAACAGTCAGCGTATCTATTAGGTTCACCTGACAGTGAATCAGGAGGAAAAACGTATTCATACAGGTATAGTGAATATTATAGGGATACGCATGCTCAATAGCCATTGATAGAGTGGAGGAAGTTTTCACATTTTCCTTCTAATTGTACTTTGTAATGTACTGTAGTAATCAGGATTTAAATTATTTTATTTTTTTAAATGGAAAATATGAGACCTGTTTATACATGCTTTTGAAAGGCCTTAGGGTGTGTTTATTGACTGACATGGCCAAACAGATCACTAGCACTTCATGGGTTAACTCAACTGGGAATTAAGCAGTCACAATGAGTGACATATTTATCACCCAGGGTGCAGATAATCAACCCTGGACAAGACAAATCAGTGCAGTGTGATCTGCAATATACGCTACTCGAGCAATGACTAGCACAGGTGACGTCTTAGTTTGTATTAGTTATAAAATATGTCTTGTTCTAGACATTCAGCTCGCCACATTCCATGAGGGAGCATCGCTTTAAATTGTATGGGAAGAAGAGACTTTTTGTAGATCGATTTATTTTTCCAGTTGACACACATTTTTTTTATTTCTTGCGCATCAACAAACAATCTATTCTTTTTTACTTTTAACACAACCATGCGGATATTTTCAACAATATAAATCATATTTATGTTTCCACAACATCGTCAGCAGTTCACTTGGGGTATATTTCTGAACAAACTATTCAGAAACAAATATCTATCCAAACCGTTCCGTCCCCAACAGAAACAAACACTCCCTACCTAAGCTATCTCGGCATATTTGAACCTGTTCCGTACTTTTACTATCGTATGACATAACACAACCTGACGGATATGGAGACCGTGAAATGTTAACAGTTCATCTGTGCTATTGATTAGTTGCGAACACAATAACAGTAGTCTTCAAACTCAACGGTTATTACACATTGGGCAGGATATGGCAACAATAATATGCACTAATGCACTCCATCTAGTGGAATATGACCTGTTACGAGTGTCCCCGAGTGATGTCAAAGACTAACAAAAACAATGGAAGTTATCGACTTTAATTTTATAATAACGTCCATATAAACAGTATATTAAGATATGTATATATTATAGTATATTCAGTATCAGTGTTCATCTATATTTACATGTTCATATATATTTAAATTAAACATATGGCACACAATTGGTTGGGACTTGTCAAAGATGCGTTGGGCAGAGTAGGTTGTCATTCATACCAGGACCTAGAATTACATTACCCAACATAACGACAGATTCAGGAAACGGTCAAGTCCCTGCATGCTACTGGCATTCCTCTTGTGAACAACTACGTTGACAGGTGTGTCAGCTGTCATAGAAAGTGTACACAAATACAGGGCTTGGTCGTAAACAGGGTAACATGACTAGGGTTCTATTTGTTTGAACTCTCATGAAAGAAATCACCACCCACACATGCATTATACATGACAGGTGAAGCATTCATTCACAAACATACATGTAGGTGTGTAGACCACTCGTTGACACTCCAAGAGGGTCTTTGTATACAACGTCAGTTCATACCCATGTCGTATTCAACGAAGGACCAGTATGTAACAATGCTTATACAACACGGCATTGTGACGGATCTGGTTACACTTTAGAAACCCTGAGACTTACTAATTTATGTACATATACATAATTATATAATCTTTTCCAATCACATCTTTCAGAACTTCTGGTATTAATATTTTCAGTGTGTCAAACGCGACACATCGTTCTCAAAATGAGCTGATAAAGTCAGTGATGAAGCAAAATATGCTTCAGTCTAATCATATCTTTTATTCTCTCTGGCAGAGGTAGACAACCCACTGTTTGTGATAGACGTGTACCAAGTAAGTGTCTAATCCTGAAGCAGCACAGATTTTGAAGAGTTCTGGGATTTGATGCGATGTGTCTCATATAACTGACGGTCATGTTTCCTTGATTCAATGACACATCCTCATCTGGTATCACAGTCTCTGCTCCTGGGTTGTAGCCAGCCTGGAGAAGAAGACAGACAATATCCCATAGTTGTAAGTTGGTTGCGAGTTTTAAAACCGATTGACCATCATAGTTGGTGACATTTAATGGCAGATTCATGTCTACAAGAACATAACGTGTAATTGCGTATGATCTGCTACGTACGGCCACGTGGAGAACACCATTGCCGAACCTGTCTCTCACACGGGTATCTGCACCCCGGGTATTAAGGTATTCAATGACATCCAACTTACAGTGGGAGGTAGCCTCCAGGAATGGACTGTTCCCAAAATTATTCACAGTGTTAATATTGGCTCCTTTGTCCAACAGTAACGTACATACGTCCAGACATCCAAGTCTGGCTGCCAGATGAAGAGGAGTATTACCACTGTTGTCACGGACGTCCACGTTTGGATGTAACGTCAGCAGGTACTCACATACTTCAACGTTCTTGCTCTGTACTGCGGTGTGGATGAGAGAAGCTCTGTTGAAAATATTCACAGAGTATGCTGGCGCACCTGCTTCAATGAGAAATTTGGTGATATTCAGATGTCCCTTTACTACAGCCATGTAGAGCGGAGTCCTGTTGAAAGCATCCCCTTGCCGTACATCCACTCCATGATCCTCCACTAGCGACTTCACGACGGTGAGGTGGCCTCCTGTACATGCCACGTGTAGCGGTGAAAGCGCGAGTCCACGTGTGAAGGTTCCAGGACAATTCCCTCGTGAACAGTCACTAGATATGAGAGAATTCATCACTTCAACCTGATCATAATCAGCTCCTTCACTAGAGGATCCTCCCACGTCCCCTGTCCATGGCGTATGCAGGATTCGTAGAATCGGCTCAGTATTACCACTCTCTGGAAAAGACGTCACGTCGTAGGAGATATCTGCCACCGATGTGCGTAACAGTTCATTGACAGCACTGTCAATGCAACTGAAGCGTTATAATTTCAGCATGACTGTTTACCTCCAACACTGCGATATGTCGCTACACGCTGCCATATATCCTTTGTAATATCACTTCACAATCTCATACACATGGGACATGCAATTGTGTCTCTCAAAACAAGCCACAATAATCCTTGTAACGGAACAATATTAAGTACAGTTGCATAGAAATGTACAATATTGTGTGCACGATCAGGGCTACATGTAATGCCCTATCAGCCCCAAACGTGAAACAGAGCCATCTCGGTGTGATAAGCCTGTACGGCGACACAATAGGTTCAATGGTATTGCAATTCACAATCAAGAGTGTTTGAATAGCGGGTGTGTACAAGGGAGATAACTCTATCGACCTAACAACTGCGCACAGACGATCCCGATAACAATACCATGCCTGCATTCATGGAATTCAGAAAGCACGACTGCTGGTATTGTTCCCTTGAAAATAATGTGACACATGTCCTTCTTGCACGTGGATGGTGAAAGCTGATCTTGTTAGAGAGGCTTAGTGCTCGATTCAATAAGGACTTCATCAAGGACTAGCTGTGCTTCACGCCTCATCAACTTCATGAGCTTAGGATGAAAACTTGTTATTGTTAGTCTGTCTGCATTTCTGTGTTTCTCATCTCCCGTCCGCCTTGAATGTTCTTTCTGATCTGAAGTGATTTTCTCATTTCAAATTTGCACGCCGATGTTGAAATTTATGGCGTTTTGCGATAAACAGCATACACTTAGCTCTGTGAATGGCATTTAGAAGTGATTCACATAAGGAAGAGAGTTTTATGGATGTCAACTTTTTATTTTGAGGAACACAACGTTTCGGAGTACATCCTTACTCCTTCATCGTTGTGTTTCTCATTATCAAGAAGTTGACATTTATAAAAACTCTCTTCCTTAAAATACACTTAGCTTTGCAGACTCCTAAAACAGCTTGAGGTTTCTCAGGTTAATATATTATATATAAGTTACACAATTAGTGAAACACATTTTTGTTAATGTATATATTGCTTATTCCTTGTTTTCGTGCGCTGTCTGTCTTGATGGTTCAAGTTGGAGATGAGAAATATATAAACAAATAAGCATGGCCTTACACAGTGCGTACAGGGCGAAGGGGCTGGTAATACTACTACCTACTTGATTATATTGTTGTGGGTTGTGGGTTAAGCCGACAGCTGTTTATCATATTTATTAATAGGTTGTTTTCCTTAATGGAACAGGGAAGGCAGTGTAGGTGTTAATTTTTCATCTGATTCTATCAATTTGTGTTCACTTATGTTTGCTGATGATGTTTCTGTACTTTCTGATACATGTAATCAGTTACAACAGAAGATAAATGCACTTGAATGTTTTTGTAAACAAACTAGAATGTCAATGAATCTTAGTAAAACAAAAGTTCTTGTTTGTAGAAATGGTGGGTCGTTATGGGAATATGAAAAGTGGTTTTATAATGGTAATCCTATTGAAACTGTATCCTTTTAAAATACTGGTGTCACCTATTGTATATGCCTTATAATAGACTCTAAAACATTGTTATATTATGCTCAAGTCCTTAGATGATGCTGGCCGCACTACTTGCGCAACTTGTGTCAGAAATATTTTATTTAAGTATGGTTTTGGCTATGCATGAATCAGTCAGGATGTTGGCAATGTTGATTGATGGACTGACCCCTTGCCACATTAACGTCTATGGCTGTTGTCCTCGAATCTGTTTCTAAACATTTAACCAAGACGTTTTAAAATTATGGGCAATATTGTAGTTAGCGTCATATAATAACTTTAACAAGAAAGATCACCTGCGGAAAGTGATACACATTAAACAGTATTACATATACTATACGTTTAGAAAGATGTAACTATGCTTAAGAAACAAGTCATGGAAGACATTCAATTCATGAAAAGGACCATGCTTTAATGCGCACATTAAAGAAATAACGTATGTGTGAAACATTGTTCATTTAACGGGTTAAATGTATGTACAAACATAGTTTATTCTTGCAACCAACCGATATGTATATATGTTACCATTTTGTGTATATCATACATGTATTTAACATAGATAAGTTATTCATAATAATGATGTAAACATGAACCTCAAATGTCGCAGAACGCGGCCAGAGTGTAAATGAATTTCTGATCAAGTTCAAGGTCATAAGCAGACCAAGCTGCAGGGTAACCCGGTCCAATACGGATCAGGTTTTAGAATTCAAACTCACCTATAGACCTTTCTAATGGCTTGTAACACTCTGAAACCTGAAAGTGGTGGTGTTGTGTTGTAGAGGCCTGATTCAACTATGTTTGGTTCACACCGTAAAATCAGAAATGTAAAATGTACGTGTACGTATCTTACGCTGCTTTTATATTATATTTTCCACTTACAACGGAATAAAAGCATAATAGCGGGGTCGAAGGCGTAAACTATTTGTGATCACATGAATGCAAATGTTTCCGTAAAACCTAACCCAATAGCCACAGCGAATCAGGGATTTGACTGACTGACTGACTGAGTTTGGTTTTACGCCGCTTTTAGCAATATTCCAGCAACATCACGGCGGGGGACACCAGAAATGGGCTTCACACAATGTACCCATGTGGGGATTCGAACCCGGGTTTTCGGCGTGACGAGCCAACGCTAAAACCACTAAGCTACCCCACCGCCCTAATCAGGGATTTGAACCCACGATGAACAGCACAATGAACCTGCCCTGTATCATTTGTGGGACAACCGCGACCTGTGATACGATTGCTATATTGTTACACGCAACTGAGCAATGAAGGACAGGACAGGACAAGATATGCATTTGTTCTTAAATACATTGGGACAGGGTGGTGTTATGTTTGCGAACGGGGGATATCACATGGAGGTTTTCCCAACCGATTATGTGTGTCGTGGTGCGTTGAAGGTATGGACCGGACCTGTTTGAACGTATCTTGTTTCGAGGGAGTGAGTGAGTGAGTGAGTTGAGTTTTACGCCGCACTCAGCAATATTCCAGCTTTATGGCGGCGGTCTGTAAATAATCGAGTCTGGACCAGACAACCCAGTGATCAACATCATGAACATCGATCTGGTTTCGAGGGAGGATGGCATATAGCAAAGTGATTATGCTGCATGAAAACTATGTTCAAATGCCTAGTCACTAGTGTTCTGTTTATTTGTAATATTCGTAATATTTTGAACGACAGATATATTGTGTATACATGATAACGCCCGTCATCGTGTGAAGAAACAGTATTTCAACATCGGTGATTACGAAATAAGAGGCATTTCCAGTTTTAATTCGGGATATCCATGCTGATTATTTTCAAAGAATTACATGTTGTGAATGAATGGCGGGAATGAATGTTATTAAGTGACCCGTCTTGTTACAGCACAGTGAAACAGGAAGTGATCTCTCTTCAAGGGAGACAACTCTTTCTGCCCTGGTGAAGGTGTAGACTCGACTCCGCCCTTTTTTGACAGGTGATGATTTACATAGAGGATAGTATATGAGTGCCCATGTCATACTATGTTTACGACACGAGTGCCTAAATTTTGGTATTTCCCGAGCGAGAATATAATATTCTGTTTATTACCGAAGTCGTCAAATTGAGGAAGATAATCCCAAATCTACTTTCAAACATAGGCTGGCTACCCGCGGTCGCCGCATGTAGAACGCAAAGTCACCGAAGAAACGTGACGTCATAGCATTGTTCATGACGTCACGTCACCATGACAAAGTGATATTTTGCCCTAGGGCATCGTATGAAAAATATGAACCCCGATATGTTCGTCCTCGTAGGTATAAACTGGTGTATGTTGATTTATTGTTAGAAGTGTATTTTTCTCATGGATAAGATGTATGTATTACTAAGTGACTTTAAGGATCACTTTGATTAGGCTTTCAAACCAACAACCATGAAAATGGATCTGGTATACGAGCCCCCAACATAGGACTGGCATTCCAACCAGTTGCAGCTCTGCTCACTAAACAGCAGAACGAGTTAGGGACGAAGCTTCCTTGGTTAGAGAGAAGAGTATTTATAAGGCATGATAATATGCTGGCACTGTGTAATCCATCGTCAATAAACACAACAAAACAAGATAATCGATTGATCCCTTTAATACAACTAACAAAAGACAGCAATCAGGAATACCACTGACGTTATGTTATATTGTAATATCAATAATTCTCAGAATTTCATTAATTCGGAACATTTTGTTCCTTTTAACCAGTCTCATAGCGCTGAACCATATTCACAATATCTGTATGATTTGTAATGTTTTCATAGTGTTACGTAGTACATCAAATATAAAGATATTACTCTATCCATATCATATGTCACAACTGACGTCAACCAGATCACTGTTGTCGTGTAACAATACCACAACTGTGAATACCAGCCTTTAAACGTTACCGCAATTAAATATTTAACTACTTTCATGAGAAGGGCCACTATGAGAAATTAGAACCTTTATTTGCTTATGAATAATCAGTAAATACAATCATTGGAGAAATATGGCGTATTTATGTATATACTTCAGTGTCTCCTGGCTCCTCTGAGAAGTCCCACACCCAGATTGTTATTCAAATGATTAGCATACGAAACGCTATTGTAGTAACGAGGACTAGATTGACCACAAAAGCCCGTGTTGAACATACAGAATATGGTACTCAGAAACCGTGGATCAACTGTATCGCCGGAACGACTTCATGCTCATGTACTTGAAACTGTTTTTGGCATTTGTACAATACCCCATACAATCAATCATTCTCACATTTTGACAAATTTTTAAAAAATGTATTAGTTGTTACAGTGCTTATAAAAATAAAACAGAAAAATATTACCGAAACACTATACAAAAAAGGAATTCATTTTTCATTATCTGATAACTGATCGAAACAAAGTGTATATATAAAGCGAAAACGTTTATGCCTTTTCTTTTAAAAAATTACTTATTCCCACTTTACTGTAACTAATCCAAAACAAGGAGTCATAATGAAAAGAAAAGGTAAAGTAAAGAAAATTGAGTCTCAAAATACATATTTTTATGTTAAGGTTGAAGTTACATCAATCTTGTATTTGGTAAAACAGTTTCAATTCTCAATGCACTGTTTTCCACAAGCATGTAAAACGTTGCCATGAGAGATGATCACAGATATAAATGGCTTGGTTCAAGGTACTCAAGAAGATACGTGTATAGAAACATGGAAAAGAGTCTCGAAGTCATATCGTGCCCCATGCAGACATCTAAAACGAGATCATTGGGTGAACACAGACGAAATTGATAAAGAAGTCACTTGAAATGCCGGTCTTCCTCAATCCTCTTCGTAGTCACCTCTTATTCATGTGTTGCAATTGCCAACATGGCAGCTTATACAGAAGGTTCAATAAGACTTTCAATGGACGAGACGAAAGGCAACACTGAAGACTCGTTCGAGTCTATGTTTCAATCATTATTGCGTGTCTGGCTGAAAGTCCAACAACTGAAAGACAAGAAGCGAAATACCAGGCGCGTGCACCTACTTGTAGGTGCTCCGGGATGTCGGGTAGCGATAGCTGAATGTGGACTCCACTTTAGCACCAATATCACCGAAGTTGTTAATTCTGGAAGAGATGATGGACTCATCTCTGGCATTGAAGGAAAAGGTGGTCATAATTCCATCATCAATCTCCCTGATCTTGATTGGGGGTTGAGACCTGTACTCTCGGTACTGTTGATGTATGCTAAACATCTCCTCAATACTGGTCTCTTCCTTGGCTTGTTTCAGAGTTGATGAATGATCACGCAGGGTTTTCCTCCGTGACGAAAGGAGTTCAACTTTCTCATCCAACTTCTTCTTTTCTTTATTCACTTCATTTTCAGCGATACTTTCTAGTTCTCGCTCACGCTCCGCTATCTGCTGCTTCAAACGACCGAACGTGTCATGGATGTTCTTGAGCAGATCTGTTCTGACTTCTTCCAACTTCTTTGTAGCAGTGTCTAGCGTCTCCTGCTTCTTTTCCAGCATTGCAGCTTCGTTATCCATATCTGTGATAGCCGTGTCTAGAACTGGAGTATACTTGTCTAGAGCTTCGCTTAAGTCCATAACAAGATGGCCATCTTGTTCTTTGTGTTCTAACACGGTGCAATCACGACACACAGGCTGGATACAGGGTTCACAGAAGAAGTTCAAAGCCTGTAGCTTGTGTTTGGAGCAGAAGCTTACGGTGTATCGCTCGGTATGTTTAACAAAATCTAACAACTGGACCACTCTGTGATCCGTGGGCAATGTCCGTACGTTCTCCTCAGTGGTGATGAAGTTACCTCTGCAGGTCGGGCAGTGAAGACTTACTGCTGTTGGCATGCCCCTCAAAGAAGGGGTGAGACTTTGACGATACTCCACCTCAGTCCGGAACAGCGCTTTGATACACGGGAGGCAGAAAGAGTGGTGGCAAGGCAGAAGTTTAGGGGGCTTTAGAGGGTTCGTGAAGGAATCACGACAGACAGCACAGATGAGAAAGGTCTTCTCAAAACTCTCCTCATCCAAAACCAAAGATCGCTTGTTCAACGTGCGCTGAGATTCATATTGGGGACCTTTATTACGGAGCGTGACTCCTGAAATATTAAAAGCAACTGTTAAAAAAATTCACATCGCTTAAAACAATGAAACTCTACAAAAATAAACTTCACTCAAAATGTAATTGATGTGTTTGCATTAAGTGGAGTATTCACAGTTGTTACACTGTAAACCAATTTAGAGTTTTTAAAGATTTATAATGACAGCATGGTAAACCAGTCAGTTCATATAAAATCATGTATGCTGACTCAGGAGTTAAAATACACAGCATGCTGTTGCGTGTTGTGTGTGCCTACCATAGACTTAATCTTCCATTGTTCAAAGCTCAACGTCTGTGTCATCGGTAAAACGTCAAGCTGCACGGTTGTTGTTGTGGTGTTCACTGACACACAACCATGTAACTTGATGAGAACAAAACATCCAAGAATGATATCAGGTGTAGTCACTATATAAATAGGGTCCTTTCATTAAACAGGTGTCGAATAATTCAACTGAAAATTACACGCCTCCAGCATCGAATGAATGTATAGATCCAGAAAGGAAATTCATCAAATTAGCATTCTCTTCATTACATTACGTGATTCAGGTAATATTTCTTTCATGATAGCTCAGTCCAGACAGACCTTCAAGGACTTCTAGGACACTAATTACAGGTACACATGCACAAATCATTGTTATCCATGCATAGTGTGTTCTGACTCCAGTCATTCTAGGTGACACTCTGACCCTTATCGTCAGACAAGTGTGAAAATGTGGGGCTGTAATGCAGCAGGAATGAATAATAGATATGGCCTCTGCTCGTAAATAGGTTTATATAAATAGAAAACAACTATTATCCTTGCTCTGAAAGCGCAAGCTCTTCTTAAAGGTTCACAACGTTGTGGATTCCTTGGTGTGTACCCTCTATTGACATTTATCAATGTGCAATTCCTAGGATATTCACATAGTGCTTACAATGGGTCTTGCGTCTGACCGAAAAAAGACATGTACCAAACCATACCGGAATGTTTACCTTTTGTCAGACAATCATGTTTACTCCAGATTTAGGCTAGATAAAATCAATTAGAAGAAAGGTGCGTTACTGGTCCCGATGTTTCCAGTAGTAAGAGGTTTAACTTCAACACTCTATATAGCTATAATATTTGCAGGATATTGGTAGCATCCAAGTTGGGGACACACTCGAGCCAACATCTGTTCATCGCCATATGTCCATTTCTGATTTCCGACATAAGATATAACAATAGGCCTATTCACATTCTCATTGATCCCTTATTGATTTGACCAACATTGTGTCTAGTTGTCGTGTTAGAATATACTTATATACAAAATACCTTACAAAATACTTAATCTTTATATGAAATTGAACACTCGGCTCCTCGCAGTCATATCCAGATTTGGTAACAATTGACCAGTCTGGACATCCAAGAATACGACTTGTGTCAAAGTCAATTTTAGTCAAAACAAGCGTTAGGAAGATGTGATTTCCGAGTGTCCACCATTGGTCAGAATACTCACCTTCAGTCAAAGCTTTACACAGCTCCTTGTCAGGTGCTTCCTCATCAACCCAGCAGGCTTTGGCCATTCTCAGCTCTGCAGGTTATCTCCCTTTCCTAGAAATAGGCAAAGAAAAGTGTCACTGGCATGCGAGAACGGAAACTGTATACAGTCAAACCTCGTTATTGTGGACGTCGTATCATGAGGACGGCACGAGTCCACTCGATATTTCAAACATCACGTTCCACCTTCGTCAGTTATAAAACTGTCCAAATTAACGAGGTTTGACTGTTTTACCTAACGCGATACGGCTAAGAAGGACCAAAATGACACAAAGTGATGCAGACTGCTGTCAGATGAAGTATTAGACCATGTCACATGCATTGTATTTCCAAGTGCAGCAACTGATCGAGCAGTGTTCCATATACATGGTCGCAGATATGTGACCTTGTCTGATTCATAAATACACAAATACGTATTTTATAGGGTATCAACACTTTAAGAAAGCACTTTGAAGGGATATGAACTACACCGAAATATACCATCTTCATTCAATAGGGATATTAACAGTATAACAGTCACTTTTCTAACATGCTTGAAATATACCATATCCATGTTACAGGGGTATCAAATGTTAAAAAAATCACTTTGAAGAGACAGGAACATCACTGAAAAATACCATGACATCTCAATTTCGAAACGATGTCAACCTTACAAGGGAGTAACTGTATCATATCCCTGGGACAAGTCAAAAGACTTCAGGCAGGTCATGAGTTGTTCCCCTAGACCATCAGAAAGGATAAAGATGTAGAGAACATCGAGAAATAGCTTAATATTGTTTAAACAGTACGCTTTCAGTGTATCACAACATATTCTCACGACCATCATGCTAGTCATAAGGTTGAGGCATAGTCAGATATCTCCACAGGGTCTGTAGAAACTCGAACCCTGGCCAGGCAAACCAGTGGTTGATAATATGAGGACCCACATCGATTTAAATAATTACACAGGATTAGCCGAGTCGTCCACATTAATCGGCCCTTACGATAGTGACGTTAACTTTTACGTTCACTCGTTCTCACGACAAGCATGGTACACTGGTGACTTCCCTGACCCGACATGTCCATGACAACGAACGTTAACAACAAAACTGTTTGAACAATAAACGTTTTATGTCTAACAAAACGAAATCGATAAGAAATCTTGTCTCAATTGCCAGTTAAGTAGGAACAGCCATACCTACAGTGAAAATGTAGTGATTTACAATAACCCTTGAACGAACTCAAGAACTGATAAGATGAGAACTGACTGGCTTGGTATGAACTGCAGGCCAACACACACACCACATACGTTTGATTAATACATACATAAAAATACAATAAATAACACAGGTATGGATATTACTGTTTATTACTGTTTATTTCAGTCTGGGTGTAAACTGTACACGTAAATCGTGTGTCGTATCAAAGAGATTGGAAGGGAATAAGCTGCATGTACGCAAAGACAAACGTTACCTGTAAGACAAACTGAAACCGATAAGAAATCGGGTGTCTGTTGCAAATGAAGTAGTTACGATCATGGCTACAGTGAAATGTGGTGATTTACAATGATCCTTCAAGATATCAAGACAGAACCCATATGGTTATCTGAGCGGTGAATGCTCTCTCTGACTTGCCTGGTAAATAGCAGCAACGCCTACACCCCCATTAGAAGCATATGTTTCACGTAACAACTGTATTTTGGATAACACCTTCTTAGTAACGTACAAATCCGAGTACGTATTCGGTTTGAGTCACATCCGGGATTCGAACCCACTCTCTCAGAGTGAGGCATATGTCCTTACACTAGTGTTGGGAATTGGTTAAAATCTCATAATTGATGATTGGTTCATTACTACCGATCAATCATCGAAAATAATTGGTTAGCGTCATTTATGAAATTTGTTAATGCACATAAAAATAAGGAAAAAAACCATGTAGTTCTTTTGGGGTTTTTTGGCAAATTTTCATATCTTTAAAGGATGACTAGTATGTTAGGAACATAAATTTCTTGGAATCTTTAAGATAAATTCAATCATGACTTGAAACGAGCTTGTAGTGCTTATGAAATGTAACAGACAAAACCAACCTTGTGAAAAATATTGTTAATAAAAACAAGTGTTCCAGAATTGTTTGTGTTCGATTATGAGAAATTATGATCGATTGCTTGGTCGTTTAGTCACTACGACTAATCTTCGATTATTTCAATTTATCGGACCACCACTACCTTACACTACATAAAGGTACAGGTAATGAACCCACTCACTTCAAGTCGTATGTGTCTCTCCCATATCCGATCCAAGAAATGTGTTAATTATTGCTATCCAGATCAGTTTTCCTGTTTCATTACCTTATTGATCATCATGGTTGATATTCTTGAGTTTGAAATGTTGTCCTGCGTATACCACCAATATCAATGCACACGCCTCCTGTTCATTCAAAGCTAAGAATACCTTCTCTGCATAGTCGACATACGACCTGATAACCTCCGCGGTAAAGGTACAACACCACCTTGGCCTAATATATACTCCTCACTGAATGCAACTTCTAATGCCATAGTGAGCGTGCTTGGTTGTGTTATTGGAACCACATACAGGATTTCTTTGGATACACGGGGAAGCATGTTCCGTGCATACACGATGGGTATTCCAGCCACGTTTTGCATATAAACATGGTAGGAGTGTGACAGACTTGACCCTGCAAGCAGAAGAATACCTGCTCTGCATTAAACAGGCACCGTACAGGACCTGTGAAAGGTTGAAAGATGCTAATATATAGCATTAACAGGTACATACAGGTGAACGACAAGGCATGGTGTAAGAATTGCATTGAGATATACATAACACATGTGTTGATATAGATGTATTGATTGCGAGATAGCTCAAGAGCGTGGTGTACAATACATAGTGCGACATTCTATGTATGTGTGCCATGTAGACAAGTCACTGAAACGAAAACATGACCTTTTCATTTGGACCGATATTCCACATATATATCGAATAGATAACAATGAGTCAAATAGATCAGAGATGCTGGCATTGATGCAGGGGGACATTAAGGAAGCATCTCCTCCACATATGGGATAGTCGTGCAATTTATGCTTCGTCTACTTCGCATACAAGCAATACTTTGATATTTGTATTAAGCCAGTATCGTGCGTAAATATGTATCAGTTAGCCTTACCAAAAAATAGTACACTCAAGTCTATTAGAATAACCCATGTGGTTATATATCCGTTACATGCATTCACTACTCCAGAGTTGAAATTACACAATATACAGGAATGGTTGGAATATAAACCATCCACAACATGTCATCGCTGTTTAAACATTTCAAACATACAGACTGTTTATTCAGTATTTAAAGGTCTAATGGCCCATCGTACAGCAACAGATGCCAGTAGATAACATTGTCACGTGTTTACAATTAGATGTAATTTGTCGTAAGACAAAATCAACGCTGAGACGGTTATTACACCTCCTACAGACTAACAAAAAATCGAATTCGTCTTTAATTGCTACTTTCAAACATTTTACAAGCAGTGTTACTTATTTCAACCTCGTGCGATCTTCTGTGAATACTTATTCCAATGCTGTGCAGTGAGATTCGAAATTTATATAAAGCACTCTCTAATAACTTATCTCATAAATGGAGTAAATATTTCTGTGGCTGCAAAATAGATTTTGAGTTGTTACACATAGAGATATAGTCCAACTACATTGTTCAGTTCATTTCTTTTCATATCCCATCCACACTTAGACAAAGAACATTACTCTACTCTGCCCTCATATGACATGAGTGAGTGAGTGAGTTAATATTTAACGTCACATCGGCAATATCTCAGCCATATCCCCTCATATGACGTATAAACGATAGCTACTGCGTTCATCCTTTCAAAGAGCGACAGATGCTTGCACCAGTTGTTAAATGATCCACGTACCTTGTGGATTTTCATAATAGGACGAGATCTCAACATGTACGAAACCAACGACGGCGTGTAAACAGAAATACCCTGCTATTGAATTTAGGTCGTGTTGGATAGGACAGAGATAGCAATTTGAACTACTCCATTTAAAATGGGTTTATATATATATAGCAAACACAAGGTCCTGAATCTACAGTGTTTAACTGTGCTTCAACATTTCCGAGACTAACATCTCTGCATCAAACACGGTATAATTTCAAGTCACATTTAGTAGGTCATTTGTCATGGTCGTATTTAAAATACATAGTTCTGCATTCGTGTTATATTTCTGTACCCGTTTCGCAAGCAACTGCTGTCATCATGGTTTTTTTCAGTAAACTACATTTATTTCAAACACGCAGATAAAAATTGACGTATGTAACGAAATGGTTTTCTGTCCTGTCCACATTCTGTATGTTTTGGTCGAAATGAGTATGAAGAACTACAGTTATTAAAAGTGAGTGAGTTTAGTTTTACGCCGCTTTTATCAATATTCCAGCAATATCACGACTGGGTACACCAGAAATGAACTTCACACACTGTACCCATGTAAGGAATCGAACCCGTGTCTTCGGCGTTACCAGCGAATGCTTTAACCTCTAGGCTACCCCACCGCCCCGGTTATTACGATCTACAGTTATTGGTTCCTTAGTGATTTAGTATTAGTTATGTATTATACTATATTGTATTGTAATCATCCCCATCTTGCCTTGTACACCTACATGAATCTTTTTCGACCGATAATCGATATTCTCTGGCGTCGATGTTTTGTTTATATCGTGCATTCGTTCTTCTTTGACAAAACAAAATTCGGAAAGCAGCCCGTATAAACATTGCCAAGATGTATTCCCACGATCGATGAAGTCTAAAGCACTGATCAAAGTTGATAAGATCTGGTTGATTTCAATGGCCTATGCCGTTGGTGAAAACTACATGTACTTGTATACGTTTGAACTCCAGATGATAGATACTGATTATATATAAACTGGTATAAATACGCCTGAAAGTTCGAAGGTCGAAATGAGTATGAAGAACTACAGTTATTAAAAGTGAGTGAGTTAGTTTTACGCCGCTTTTAGCAATATTCCAGCAATATCACGACTGGGTACACCAGAAATGAACTTCACACACTGTACCCATGTAAGGAATCGAACCCGTGTCTTCGGCGTTACCAGCGAATGCTTTAACCTCTGGGCTACCCCACCGCCCCGGTCCTACAATTATTGGTTCCTTAGTGATTTAGTAATAGTTATGTATTATACTATATTGTATTGTAATCATCCCCATCTTGCCTTGTACACCTACATGAATCTTTTTCGACCGATAATCGATATTCTCTGGCGTCGATGTTTTGTTTATATCGTGCATTCGTTTTTCTTTGACAAAACAAAATTCGGAAAGCAGCCCGTATAAACATTGCCAAGATGTATTCCCACGATCGATGAAGTCTAAAGCACTGATCAAAGTTGATAAGATCTGGTTGATTTCAATGGCCTATGCCGTTGGTGAAAACTACATGTACTTGTATACGTTTGAACTCCAGATGATAGATACTGATTATATATAAACTGGTATAAATACGCCTGAAAGTTTTAATTCTGTCATTGACCTCGATGAATCACTTTAAAGTTCAGCTCCGTAAAATGTCAAACTGAAATGATGCCCCAGAAAGTATGTTAAGTACATAAGTGAATAGAATGTTGCGAGCCAGTAGAATCATAATGTCGATTTACATATTATTATTTCCTGCTTTAAATGTAGAGGCTTGAAAATGATAATAATGAAAAATCAGCGCCATATTGACAAAAAAACAACTAACCTGATTAGGTACAGCTCGATAATGTGAATACATAGCTCGAACCTGCATACCTTCTTTATATCGCGTCCATCCCACCCACATTACACGACTGTGATCAATGTTGACACACGCCCAGGTCTGGGGACGACTAGTAAAAGTTGTGTTGAGCCAATTGGTTGTGTCCTAGTCGGTATGTTTGTTTAGCCTGTCGCTAGTTGACATAAGATCACTTTCACGTTTATTTTCCGCACACTCAGCAAGTGGTAGTGTACTTGCTGGAATGGGTTTAGCATTATGGACCTTCTGTCGTATATCTGTAGTTAGAATTAAACACTACTCGAAAACATGTTCACTGGGCACCCAAAGAGGAATACATGTCAGCATATGAATGATGCCTGCAAAAGGCGATTTAAGCATACCTGCCAACAATCACGCCTTTGGCTTGAGACTCACGCTTTTGTTACTCATGTCATGCTCTCACGACAAAACAGAATCTTAATCTCACCCCAATCCGGGTTCTGTGATAAATAGAAATCCGTTTCTCGAATCCTGTTTCACATTTGGGCAACTTACAATCACCCAAATAGGTCTGAATACATCCTTTTCTGAGAAGGGAATTTGCAATCATGCCTTGACTTCAGGGAGGCTTGGCCCCCCGTCGTCCCCATCTCCTATCTCCGCCCCCGAACTGACCACTGAGTTCCGGCATCTCAATTTTTTCTGTCTTGGTGTTGGAAGCTCTGTTGCAATGTAAAAGTACGGATCACCCACTTGTGTGGGCAGGGGTGGAAATAACTTTAAAATTGCTAGTGTACTCCGGTACAGTGGCACATGTAAAATCACTTGGCCTGATAATTTTTCCACTATACCGGCCGTTTTCTTGTTGATTTTTAAATAAACAACATAATTAACATTGGAATATCAACTGGACACCGGTACAGTGTGATATACAAATTTGCTTGCCCGACAGAAAAAAACACTGGACTCGGGCGTCGGGCAATGGGTTATTTCCACCCCTGGTGTGTCAGGGGATGCGGTAGCCTGATGGTTGTAGTTCACACGCGTTCGATTCCTCAAGGGACAAAATGTGGATTCAAGATACGATACAATGTACAATGTCTGTTCTTGATGGTCCTCCCTTGAGTTTCTGTTATATTGCCGAAATACTCCCAATACCCACTGTTTAATGTGAGTCGTGTTAAGATGCATCACTGTTGGAACGATAATTTAACAGACCAGAGCATACAAGGAGTCAAACACGTGTTTTCTTTAAGTGCAACCAGCAGCTGATCCAATGCAAACTGATTGCAAGTAGGCTCAGGTCATATTGTACTTTTACGTCATGAATGACAATAGACTATTGCCACTGGACTCAGATCACAAGGTAAGAGTTCAAGTAGCCGAGCTGCTTCGATCAGTCTTTGGGGCGGTAGCCGGGTGGTTTGAGTGTTCACTCGTCTCACGAAGACCAGGTTTCGACCCATGAAACTCATTTCTAGTGTCTCCTGTAACACACGTTGTATTTGGGATTACTCTTTCAATAAAGTACAGTTTCTGATACTTTTGTTGGGTACTAGAAGCTGTATTTTACTTAGAAAGTGTAATTACACACATAACATGTGTTACATTTGACCACTTTCTAAATGGCATTGTGTATTGATATTCAAGTGTCTTCTGTAACATTGTAGGAACAAATTACATCGAAACAATTCTCAATCACTGATAATACAGTTAGTCTGTATTAAATTCTATGATACTTACAGTGATATATATATATATATGTGTGTGTCTAATATGTCCACATATTTGTGGTTATTCACGGATTAGCTCCAAGATTTACGATATTTTTTTTAATCTACCATTAATATGTTTATTTCAGAAAATGAAAACAAAAACCTTCGTTGTTTGATATTGTTATTGTGTAACTCCTGTCAGAATACGTATCCAGCTAAAAAACATAGACAGTAAAAGGGCGCGGATTTATCTCTGGACACTGTTTCCTTGCTGGAGGCTTGAATAAGTCCAAACAAAACACCAGCACGGTCCCGAATGGAAATTTCACGGCTGAATGGCTTCCATGGGTCACGACTGGGTCGATATTGAACATCACGCGGTTTTTGAGACAACTATTGAGACTTGGCAGTCAATACCACATGTTGGACAAATGCCACATTTATTCCTTGAAACACGTTGCATAACTAAATACACTTCATATTTCAATGTCAAAAACCATAAAGGCGTCTTACAGCTTGTTGAAGTATGTTTTAAAACGGTGCAACTGAGTTGTTGTTTCTCTTGAATTGTGTGAATGTCAAATATAGAAATTAATGATTTCCGATACGGTCCTAGTTGGTGATGAACTATGGCTGCTCGTGAGACCATACAGTTTAAAATAGCTGGGTTAATACATGTTCGAGTGGATCTACAATGCGTGAGCACAAAGCACATTAAAAGGTCAAGGTCATATAACATCTGTTTCACTCGACAACTGTGACATTTTCATTTTACGTACCTTCCAGTAATTAATAATATCATTTTCTCTGTATATAAATAGTATATCGATAAAAAATATCAGGAAATAAAGACGGTTTTTACATCGCCCAAAAACCTGCATGTTTTTTTCCTCATTTCAACAGAAATCAAGTCGATTTACTAAAACCTATATACATCAGCATCGGTCTCGCTACAGTGAAGCAGACGAAACGTTTTCCTCTGTGACCTTCCCGCCAATTTTAGAGTGCATAGATTGCATGATCATACCTACTGCCAGGCTTGTGTTTCCTATTTCTATTAATACAACGCTCAAAACTGGTCGCTCTACTGTCTATTTGAACAACCGACTTCAAAACGCACCCCTACATGCCGCAGTCACCAGTCACGTGGTCAAACGCCTTGCTCTGTATAGTTTCGCCAGTCAGCAGAACCCAACCCCCAATCACACACCATACCTTGTCAAATAATATTTAAAGCACACAGTCCGTTAACAGGAGCAAAATGCTCGTCAAGCAATCTGTGGTAAAATAAGTCAACGAGCAGACGACATTCGACATGGAGATATAACAATGTGTACGTTGGACATTCTCCACTCAGTATTGACATAGTGCTTATTACAATAAAGAAGTACACTGGTGCAACGGATATCGATTACAAACGTCCCACTTCACAATATCATCCTATAGTAATCAAGCTTACCGTCTGTGTCATCATGGTTGCTCGCCAAGAGCAGCTTGCCGCCAAAACGCAGAGACACTGTCCTCCTGTGACCTCAACAGAATATGCAGAAAACGTCACAATATTCCGTGCACCTGCCTATTCGCAGCTTCCTGTATACTGGAGTATATGTCGAGTGTTGTCACACAAAGAATCACACTATTCACACCCACACCGGTTTAGGATCACGAGGCTCAATGGCTACATGCAGGCCCCACAGTCATAAAGTGACATTCACAAGGCTCGTCAGTGTTAGTAAAACCGTGTCAAACGAGACCGACCTACCCCATCCATCATGTCCCGCTCTCAACTTTTGTCTGGACACAGCTTGGCAATTGATGGTCCGGTGTTATAGTACTCAATACTGAAGGAGGTGAAGACTAATCATGCCCTCTAACCATCCACACCAACCAGCGCCAGCCAGTAAAGGCTCCACAAATTTAAATCTGTATATTTTTTAATCGTCGTTACTGTGAGGCAGTGTCCCGCTATAGTGAGCACCGTGTATCTATGCTTGTATAATTAGCATACATGGTGACACCAATAGAGGCGCGCATGATACCGACTGTATGGATAGACTATAAAGACAGTGAATACAAATGTGATCTCAACGTCAACATATAAACAGAATATATAAAAAATATGTACACAATACACAAATTTATCTATTCCATGTACCTGATATAACTGTGCATTAAAGTATGAAAGATTTTTAAGTTGAGATTATAATACATAATTGGGATAATAGCATGCAACAGAGCCGGTATACATCTAAATCTCTTGAAACAGGACACATAAACTGATCCTGTAATTCGACCCGAGCCCAGTCTCCTTTTCATTGTAGAACCTAGTTTTCCGTGAATTATTTAATGCTGGACAACTTGGTAGATACCCAAAGAGTATCTGTAACACGTTTCTGGTTTTATCTCGTGCTATCGATTTGTTTAGACAAAGGATATACTCCGAACGGGTAATGAGAAAGTGTAGTCGTGTCATGTACACAGTCTGTGCCATAAAGCCTGGGTCAACTGTTCCAGGTCATCAACTACCTGGCGGACAGTAATGAACAGGGTAGCATAGCAACGGCTAAATGGCGGAATTGCGGTCCAGTGGGGTGGACAAGCTTTGCAAACGGTGTGGTCGAGGGCCGATACCCATGACATATTTGGCTGATACTAAAACTGGCCTTTCCAGCTGCACACAATGGAGCATCATTGTTTAATAAGGAAACATTAATTCGTCTCATAAACTGAAACACAGCAATGTACAGACGATAGTCCAAAAGTCAAAAGATTTACTTAAAGGTATATTTTCTAAATACATTGTTGATGAAACAACAAGACCATACTTTGAGATTTTGTTACAAAGTAAAGCACCTTGTCAAACATCAACAAGTATATATATATTTACTCCCCTCAGTGACAATCAACAATTAAAAATTTAAAGCAACATAAATAGGAGAATTTAAGGACACTTTTAGTAATGTTGGAGCAGTAACAACAGAATAGTTTTCACATGTATGTGCGGGCCCACAAACTTGGGTCTCACTCACATCTAGCCCAGGGCTAGTTGTTGCCTGCAGAAATTAGTACTTGGGATACACCAGTTGACCACAATGTAACCACAGGTAATGGGGACCGTGAGTGTACATACGTCTGCATACAATATTGATCAACAATCACATCAAGCATGCATCAGTTACTTTTCAATCTAACCAGTTCCTGAGCACAGTGTGAATGTTTTCATGCTCAAACACTTCGAGTGCCTACGTTGACATGATGGCTTGCAGTGTTACCAGGCATTGTGCACCATATCCTGCAACCGCACCTGATGGAACGAATAATCAATACGTCTGACATGTAAGATAGACTACGCAGACATATGATATCCTAGCCAGGCTGCTTATGCCTATGCCGCTGCTGATGATGCTGGTGACTGTGGTGATTTGAAATTCCCCAATGGATTGTTATCGCTAAATATTACACAAGCAATAGAGATATTAGGCTTTAATTCTTCATGAACGTGCAAACACTTCCATCGAAGAACTAATTCCCTGATAAAGTGGACGTTATCATCCACAGCTAACATCCTTTACTTCATCATTTTTGCATAAATGGACAATACATTCGGTAGATATTAACACTAATTCCCTGACCTGTACTACGTGGTACTTACCCGTTGAAAACCATCGTGCTTCCACATTGTTCGCCCTGCATGGCAATGATATCCCACCAGTAACAACTCAGTCCATCTCTCCAATGAAAGCTGCGTGTTTCTCTTACTTAATCAGCGCCTGACGTCAACCGCGGTTCCTTCAAATGACCTCGATCCTAGAGTAAACTTCATCAACGGGTATTCAACCGGAGGAATGTGAATCTTTGTGTTGTATGAACGACAGGGCAGCTCAAGGAAGGTTAAGGGGAGCGAACACTGTTAATGTGGGGTATGGTTCAACTGTGAATGATAACAAGGTTACCTGAGAGCGTAGGTGGTGGCAGAATTTCTGTGGTGATAACATGGGGCTTTGATGCAGGAACTGAAGCGGAGCAACGTGTAGCCATTATCAATATATCATAATACGTCGTGCATGTATGGATAATGCATTGTAACACGTTTTGTGTTGTCGTAAGTGATTTTGTTTTTATCGATGTTCATTTGTATCCTAATCAACCCGACAACAGCATATGGTGAACGATTTTTAAATACAGCCAACTTCAAAGCTCGAAGTTATGAATATATACATATGGGACTTTCAGCAAAATATTTTGAACTGCATTGTCAGATACGGAATTGATCGTTGGAAACAGTTGTAAACGTACATATGTGTGGAGTTTGGCGCTATATAAAGGAACACATTATGTATTATTATATTGGCTGTTCCATTTCAATCCGTACTTTTATCGGGTGCAGTGCTGTTACAAGGTACAGCTGTTTGTGTGACAATACCTTCTGGCAATATTGCAAAGAGATATTATATAATTTCAGAGCCTCCGCCAAATCTTTAACAAAGAGTTGGCGTACAGCGTCTTCAAAAACATCGTTTACGCTAATGTGACTATCGAATTTTGGTACACTGTGATCGCCAAAACAATTTCGTATGATCGCTTTTCAGTTTATATCTGATTTCTCCCAAGAGAAAGGCATTAAATGTGCCAACAGACGCATGTTTGTTTGCAAGCAGGCACAGATTGGCAGTCACAGATTGACGGATTCACAGACACAGTCCCATCTGTCACCTTCCCAATGGCGTGACGTGTTACAAAACAAATCATATTAATGTCACTATCATTTGTTTGACAGTCACCAATAACACGTTATTTTATTTATGGTTATGCAATAAAAGGCAAGTCTCAAACATGCATAAGGAATACCACATGTGTTTTGGAAGCTGTGTGGGTTAGATGGCTACTTTGTGTGTGCTGGCGATTAAGTGCCTGACTCAACTAAAGAACAAGAGTCTGTACTTGACTGAGAAAGTGTAATCCCAAATATAACATTTCGAGACAAGCACCTTGCGCTTCAGTACATAGCCAATCCGAACAGCTCCAAGATATATATTTGTCTTTGACTTCTCTTGAAATTACCCATGCGAGATATCGTCATTATACTCTCGTTACCCTGGGGCTATCAACACTGTCGTGCTTCATGCATGAGGAGAGGTGAGGCAACCTCCCTCAACCTTACGCCTGACATCAACGTTTGGCTGCAACTAATTAATCATAAACGAACTTGCCCTCACTTGCCGACTCCGTTTCTGTGACGTTAAAACTTAAAGGAATGGCTCTGAGTGACTGTTGAAAATTATATTATGAAAGAAATATAAACAATCTATTTTAACATGATCATAGATTCTCAAAGTTTATACTTTTGGAAATATTGCTTTATGCTAACACTTATTTGTACTCTAAATGGAACAATTATTTGGAGATACCCGTGTAATAGCACAGCACTTGAGTGAGTCGGGGTGACGAGCTTCACATTGTACCCATGTGGGGAATCGAACCCAGGTCTTCAGCGTGACGAGCGAACGCTTTAACCACTAGGCTACCCCACAGCATTTGAGAGGATTCACAATTACCAGGTTCCAAAGAGGAGTCTGGTATATAGGCATTGGGTCATGAGTAGATATGAACAGAAGATAAATGGAATTTCGATATGTGCAAGAAAAATATATGTGCTCAAAATGGTTTCCAGCTGTATATGTCACCTTGAATGTCATCGTAATATCAACTCTGGCCATTGATTGGCCTGACCCTTCTAGGAAAATAAGATTCTTACTGACTACCCTAGTACACCACCATTGGCATGTATATCAAGCATGACGTCACTGTCATCTACATGAACAGGGTGGCTGAAAACTTCAGTACTTTATTGATTTTATTATATGCTTAGTAAGGGAAACACTTAAAGCGATGAACTTGCACTGACTCATTCAATGCTATACATTAAAGATGAAGAGCGGGCGTGTATATCGATATGCTGCTTGGCTGGAGAGTGCTATATAATCAATACACGGTATACATACATACTGATAGTAGAGGATGCCGATATTTCTGGTTGATGTGTACTTCCAACTGTAAACATAATAGCCATATCTTTTGTTTATTCTTTATCAGTCAAAATAATTTGTATTTACAGATAAGCTCCTTTCCATCATCATACGAATACCCTGCTGAAAGTCGAGTCTATTTTACTATTTGTAAGGTACAATAAGCATGTATGTCTTTATCGTTAGTATTCAGCGATAATGTTTGAGAAAAGATGATCATATCCTGACCCACGGAAGACACTCACCACAAACACGTGCAATGGCTAGGCAAGCATTTGCCTGAGCAAACAGGGGAGCAGATTGCGCAAATCCCGTTTGCAGAGTGAAACTCTTATGATAAAAAACCTACATGTCTACATGTCTGCCACAAGACATTTGGAAAGCTTAGCCTTCTAATGCCTTACATGCAGTAACCCTGTGCAAAAACCTTTTGAGGACGAATTTTCCCTGTTCTTTGAAATAGAACGATCGTAAATGTTTTTGTACGTGTGGGGAATACAATGCAAAAATTATGTGAACTGTCTCTGAACCTACAAAATGCACTTCCAAACATGGCGTTTACTCCAAACACTTATTTGCTGCTTTAAACGCCGATAGGGACTGAGGAAGGTGTTATGCATTTTACCTGGGGGTACGAGGAAACTGTTCAGGATAAAGTGTGTTTTGATCTGCCCCGGGCTGAAAAAATATGAACTCACCTGAAGACACTGAGATGTTTAAAAAAAT